CTTCTCCCTGTTGTGACAACTAAAATGTCTCCAGACACTGTCCAACTGTCCCCTGGAGCTCAAAGCTGCTCCCGATTAAGAACTGCTACAGTAGGGGCATGATCATGAATGTCACCTGTATGTCTGTGTTCCGGAACTTCCTGCCACATGACGGCCACAACAAAACAGACAGCGCTGACACCGCGCATTCCCTGTGCCGGGCACGGTCCGGGGGGGTTCATGCCTCCCATCACGGAACCCCCCGTCAACCCGATCAGCTAAGTAGAATTCTTATGCCTCCTTTACAGCCAAGGAAACCGAGGCACAGAGACACCAAATCACTTGTCTAAAAGCCACAGTGACTAGTGGCCGCACAGGGACACAAAACTTTGTGGAGTCTGTCTCTGAACCCCACACGGCTGCCTCTCAGGCACGAAATGTGCCCTCAGCTGACTTCCTCCCTTCGCTGTGAGGTTGTCCAAACTGTGCGACTCGGAATTTTCTGACCTACCTATAAGTTGCTTTTTGGTGCCAAAAGAGAATCAGAGAATGCACGATGGAAAAGAAAAGTTCACAGGTTTGCAGGAGAACTTTAAATGCATTTCCCTCTTGCAAACAACCTTAAGCTGTTCACAAGAACCAATACCACCCTCCACCCCCTGTGCCTGGGGGAGGCACCTCTTCACTCACGGACCCATGTGGCCCAGAGAGGGCGATCACCTGTCCAGGGCCACACAGCAGGTGTGCGGCAGGGCCGAGTCTGTCTGCCTCCAGAGCTCTCACGCGCCCCCACATGCTGGGCAGCCCAAGGGGGCCCCTGAGCCTGCCTGGAAGGCACCCCTGGGGGGCCGGCCAGCATGACACTCGGCCACTGGAGGACTCTGGGAGAGGGCAGCCTGAACGGACCCTCCGGTCCCAGTGGAGGCGGCCAGGAGACACGGCGGAGGCGAGAGGGAAGTGCGGATCGAACCAGCATTTATTTTTAAAATGATATTTCTACGAGATGAGCTCAGCGGAGGCCCGAGGCCCCAGGCAGACAGAGCGGGTCTGTGGGATGGGCTGGAAGCGGGGCAGCTGGCATTCCAGTAATAACAGCCCAGCAACCGGAGCGGCCCCAGGGAGCGCAGAGGCCGGGGGCGCTGGGGGATTATCGTGGAGCGCTTCAGCGGGCACGGCCCCTCCCTGCCAGCCCCCGAGCATGACGAAGGGGCACTTTCCGAGGCCGATGACGGCAGGGAGCTGGCTTATTTCGGTAGAGTGGGTCAGATGATGGGAGATTTTAGACCACAAAATGCTTTCAGAGCTTGGATCGGAGGATAGGAAAATGTGACTTAAGTGCAACGGAGCAAATAATGAAAAAAATGAAAAATAACCACACACACACACATCTATATTCATCTACTCCAGGGGTCCTCAAACTTTTTAAACAGGGGGCCAGTTCACTGTCCCTCAGACCGTTGGAGGGCCGGACTATAGTTTAAAAAAAAACTATGAACAAATTCCTATGCACATTGCACATAGCTTATTTTGAAGTAAAAAAACAAAACGGGAACAAATACAATATTTGTATTTGCATGTGGCCCGCGGGCCGTAGTTTGAGGACCCCTGTTCTACACACTCTGGACCCCGAGCGTGTCCGTGATTCACACACACCTGGCGCCCCGTCTGGAGGCTCCTTTCACTGGCCGGCCCGGAGCAGCAGACAACACACGCATTGAGGTTCACGGGGAAACACAGCTGTGGGGAAACTGAGGCCCTGGGCGCTAGGACCGGCGGAGGCCCTGCTGTGAGGCCGGCGAACCCACGGATGCCCCCAGCTCAGCAGCATGTCCCCGCGACCCGACATCTGCCGAAGGTGCTGGTCACCGGCCAACTGAGGAGGGGAAATTTGGACACTTTTTTGGAGGGTGGGGGGAGCTCAAAAGCTGAAAGAAATCTAACAGCCCCCCCGATGCTGCCACAGCCCCCGACTAGCTCAGCCATAGGTGATGACCGGTGTGAGCGGGGCTGGGAGGGGTCCCGGGGGCTCTCAGGCCCTGGTGGCCCTGGATGCTGCCATCTGGGTGGTCACGGAACCCCCAGCACCAGGTTACCAGCTCTGGACTCGCCCAGGGAGGCGGTCAGTCATGGTGAGGCTTCGTCCTGAGAAGGTCACGGGGAAGTTAACGGAGCCACGAGGCTGCGTGTCCTTGGACTCAGGCCGTACACGGTGGTGGCGAGATTACAGGCTTCCTTGGTGATTCTGTGGCTGATGGGGGGTGACCAGCCACAGACGTGAGGAGGCCGACGCGGATCTCAAGAAGACACTCAAGAGAGCCCTAACTGGTTTGGCTCAGTGGATAGAGCGTCGGCCTGCGGACTCAAGGGTCCCAGGTTCGATTCTGGTCAAGGGCATGTACCTGGGTTGCGGGCACATCCCCAGTAGGGGGTGTGCAGGAGGCAGCTGATCGATGTTTCTCTCTCATCGATGTTTCTAACTATCCCTCTCCCTTCCTCTCTGTAAAAAATCAATAAAATATATTAAAAAAAAAAAAGATACTCAAGAGAGGGCAGGCGACAGGGGGCACGGAGACACGGCATCTCCCTGACCGGTGGGGACAGGCCCAGGGTGAATACACTCAGTTCCCACAGCCCGTTGCTCTGCACGCAGAAGAGCGAGGAGAACCGGGCCTCCGTGGGCACAGGGGCCGGGAGGCGGGACCCTCCTCGCTGGACGTGGTGAAGGTGGACTGGGCAGAGTGGGGGTGAGGTGAGGACTGGGAAGTCCACTGGGGCCATCCCCACTGTGACAGCAGAAAGAGCTGGTGGCTTCTGGAAGCGGAGTGCTGGCTGTCACTCACTCTGGCCATGGGAGAGCCTTTCTGGGCCTCAGTCTTTTCATCTACAAAATGGGAAGACCACCCCTACCTTGCCAACTGTTGCACTGCAGGAAAAGCCTCTGGAGCTCCTAGCACTTAGTAGGTGCTCAGTAAAGGATCCCCTTTCGGTTGACCGAAAGGCTCCAACCTTGTGGCTAGAGCTGAGATTTTCTAAACCTCCCTAAGAAGAACAATGGATCAAACATCGCGTATCCCCCAGGCAGGCCTCGGGGGGGTCTCCATTTCTGTTTCCCACCTGGCTCTTTAAAGGAGCACGTCAATTCAGGGAAAGCTAGGCCAGCACAGGCAGACAGGCAGATTCTCTGCAGCTGCCTGGGCCCCATGCACCCCGAGGACCCATTCTACAGATGGGGAAGCTGAGGCGGAGGCATGGCGTTTCCTCAGGGAAGTGCCAAGCAGTGTTTGTGCTGAACAGCGCTGGTTAGGGCAGAGCACTCAGGCCTCAGGGAGCGTCCGTTCTTTGGCTCACCTCAACCCTACCGCGCAAAAGCCCGGGACGGAAGACAGCCGAAGCACCTGACACGCAGTAGGCACTTAGTACACGTTCACTGAGCAGGTCAAGCAGTGATTGAGTGGGAGAGGGAACGGACGAATGAACAAACAAATGAATGACTTGCTCAGAAACGGAGCAGGATTCCCAGGGGGCCAAGGTGACTCTCTCACAGGGTGGAGGCGATTCAGGATGGCCGGGTGCCCTCCCACCGCATGCTCTTGCATCACCCAAGTGCCCCGTGCCTCAGTTTCCCTACTTTTACAAATGGGAAGGCTAACCCTCACTGGCCAGGACTGAGTGGGATTGAGTGAGTGTCCGTGCCAGCCTGGAATGCCTGTTCCCTTGGTCCCTCACTGCTGCCAGGCTTTGTACCTCCCGACCAGGCCAAGGGCAGTGGGACAACCTGTGTGTGTGTGTTGGGGGGTGGGGGGGGGATGGGGGTGAAGAAGCAGGACCACCGAGCCAGGAAGGGCCGCACAGCCAGCACCTGCAAACTCCTCGGGTCGGCAGCCCCAGCTCCAGACCCAAAAACAAGGACCATTCGATCGCCAGGCCCCGGAGAGTCTGAGACCAGCGCTGCGCTCAGCTTCTGGCAGAGTCATCAATAACACCCCTCTGTTCCCGCGGGGCCTCCTCCCTGCGGCCTGCCAGCTTCCCGGCCGCCTCTGGCCAGAA